TTATCTGCAAACCGTGCAGGTGTTCTATTTTCACTTTAAGGAACTCATTTCCACGGAAGGAGGTGCAGCCGCGCGAGAAATAATATTTCTGTACAAGCGGAATCCAATTACAGAACGTTACTGTTGCGCGCGTTGAATGAAAATTTCAAACGTGTTGCATATGTAAAAAAGATCGTAATTATTAGGCAACGTGTGTCCAACCTAACTGTCATTCTCACGTGTGTGCCGAATATAATTCGTTTAAATATTTCAGACGCGTAGCAAAATTAAAACAGTTCTCGCTGGAATATTTAAGGAACCGAAATTCGAACGATACGGGGCGAAACAAATTCCGGATAATTTTCCTTTCGAAACGAAGCTGCTGCACTTGCAGCTCGTTCTTTCCCTCGAACGTGTGCACACAGGGTCGATCGAAATCGCGAGGCGCGTAAATCGAGGTTCCGTGAGTCGCGGGCGATCCGCGAACTTCCAGCGACCGGAAGCTCGTAGAATAGAATTCCTTGCAGGAATTCCATTTTACACGGCAGTTGCCGCGAGCCAGACGATTCGATTCCGTTCCGAGGCGATTCATTCCACCTCCTGCCCGAACAAATAATTTTCCACGCTCGCCGAAAACCTATCGCGAGATCAAATACCACAAATTGTCTCGAACGTATGTGACGTAGGAAAAACGCAATTTATCGCGGCCTCGGCGAACGCGTAATTTTTCTGGCCCGGGAGTAATTTCTCGCCTCACGTTGCTTTCGATAAATTGCATCGCGTTTCATCTCTCGTCCAGTCGCTGTATTTCGTCTTTCTTATTATTCTCCCTTTGAAAGTGTAAGCTGAAAACGAGTCGTTAGGAACATTGGCTCGCGAAAGGAATTTTTTGGGGAAATTATCGCTGTCCTGTGTTTCGACTAGAATCAAATTTCACGTGTTTCGTGTAAATTCAGTCTAGCAGAAACATTTTTAGAGCTAAATGTATCTGTGAAACTGTGCTCGGGAAATTTTCCTGTCGTACTTTCGACAAGTATGCAATCTTAGAAAAAGACGTCAGATTGAATCCGAAAATTCTCACGGAGAATGTAGAATTCTTGGGATTGCTGGAAGATTTTCTGCCAGTCGAATCCAATCGTCCACGCGTAGTATTCAACTTTACTGAACATCTATCAATTTTCTACCGCAACCTCATAACAAAGCGTATCATTTCGTTATTCCACATTTTTTAGCCTATTGTAGTTACCAAACAAAACAACCCATTTCGACTGACAAATTCATTTACCCTTACATAGTGAACAATCTGCTACTACACACATTCTCTAAATCACTATGCCCACTTTTACGTGAAAAATGCGTGGCAACTGACTCTCGCAAAGAAAAAAATTTAATAATCATACCCACTGATATAAAATATTAGAAAAAAAAATCCGTACGATAGCACGAACGAAAAATGCGTTCAGACGCACGAAAGGCCAGGCCGTATCGCATAATTTCTCCATTTCGAGTGCGTCCCCGTTACTGTCCTCCGCATCGTTCGAATAAATATCGCGGCACGGTCGCGTGCGCGAAGCAAAAACAATTCTTTCGTTAATTTATTAGCCGTAGATCACTGTGACAGGCCTGTGTTTCGGGTTTCCCCGGGCCTCTGGGTTAGGACAATTTCGAGGATCAGCGCGGTTTCTGGCCGTGACACCAGCGGGGAGCGGCACGCGACGTCCGCAGGAGATCGATCGTTAAGGGCAACGCGTTTCGGACGATTGACCGTGCAAACGAACCACTTCCTTTTCCGGATCGTGTCTGCGACCTCCGGCACACGAAACGTCCTCGCTGAATGGGCGGGAGGGAGGGACAACGACGGACAAGGGACGCCCTTCTGAGGCGTCGAAATCTATGGTCGAAGGGTCTGCAACTCTCGCGATTTCCGTTTTTCGAAATTATGTTAGGGAGGCGGGCAGAGGAGCGTTTGGTACAGGAATCGATCTCTGTTATTTATGGTATTTTCATGTGTATTACACTTTTCGAGTTTCTTGTTGGTTATTTAACAACGGAGGGGAAGAAATGTGGATCCTTTTGTGAAGCATACTAAAATTCACCGAATCATATCTATTGAAGTATTTCCAAATTTACCAAATGAATTCTGCTGAATATGAATAATTATTTGAAAAATTATTTTAGTTTCTCGTTTATTCCGATTAAATATTTGTCCGTTTTTATTCCGGTGATAAAGTTGGAGTTTTCTGTTTAGCCTCTTCTGACAAATGGATGATATTTATTTCAAGATTGTTTATAGCTCGGCAGGACGGGGGAATAAGCTATTGTGGACATAAAATTCTCGCGGTGCTAAGAATATATTAGAGAGGTGACAGGTTTGAAGATAAGAAATTCAAGGGACGTTGTAGAAAATATAGAAAGATGGAAATGTCTGACGTATTTTATTCCGACGTCACGTGCATCGATATTTATTTCGGCTTGCAATTTGCCACGAAACGTTTCTAAATAAAGATTTCCAATTTGATTATTTTCTCTTCTAACAGTCACACGTATTCTTTATTCTATTCTTCGTTTTATGCGTCACAACGTGTGGCGATTTATTACCATTTATTAACATTCTTCGAGTTATTTCAAACGAAGGAGATATGAATGAAACTTGTCAGACGAGTCCACGTTTCGCATTGCGACCAAAGAAAGCATTCTATAGGACGGTCACGTAAGCGAGAAAAATTTGAAAAAGCTTCTAGAACTTGCTCTTTCTAAACTCAGCTAGACTGTGTACCTTTCGTCTTTAAGAAGACTCGTCGCCACCGACGTATACATAGGTGTTTGCAGACACCTATGCAAAGATACGAACGTACAAACGTAACTCCTTCTTCAACCGGTTCTCTAAATCTAATTAAGGCATTCTTGTTTCTAAGAACTGGAAATGTAATGCAGTAATTGTGTCATTAACCCTTTGACGCCTCGAAAATAATGCTTTCTTTACTAATTACTCTTAACGAAAATGAATTGAACTTTAGAGTCATTGATAAACTGCATCCAACAATATTACATAATTCTTTTCCAGTCCTTTAAATCTAATTATAAGAGAAGACACAATGCACTAATTTTCCATTAACCCTTTGACGCCTCGAACATCATCCATTTTTCACTAATACCTTCTAAGAAAAATCAACGAAGCGAAAAATCATTAATAAACTACATCCAATGATATTGCATAATTTTTCCCAGTACTTTAAATCTAATTATAAGAGAAGACACAATGCATTAATTTTCCATTAACCCTTTGACGCCTCGAAAATAATGCTTTCTTTACTAATTACTCTTAACAAAAATGAATTGAACGAAGAGTCATTGATAAACTGCATCCAACAATATTACATAATTCTTTTCCAGTCCTTTAAATCTAATTATAAGAGAAGACACAATGCATTAATTTTCCATTAACCCTTTGACGCCTCGAAAATAATACTTTTGCACTAATACCTTCTAATAAAAATAAATGAAACGAAAAATCATTAATAAACTACATCCAACGATATTGCATAATTTTTCCCAGTACTTTAAATCTAATTATAAGAGAAGACACAATGCACTAATTTTCCATTAACCCTTGGACGCCTCGAACATCATCCATTTTTCACTAATACCTTCTAATAAAAATAAATGAAACGAAAAATCATTAATAAACTATATCCAGCGATATTGCATAATTTTTTCCCCAGTCTTTTAAATTTAATTAAAACAATCTTCCTTCTAAGAAGAGAAGGCACAATGCACTAATTTTCTATTAACCCTTTGACGCCTCGAAAATAATACTTTCTCACTAATACCTCTTGAAAAGGTGAATTAAACGAAAAATCATTAATAACCCTCATCGAACGATATTACACAACCCCTCGCCTCTCTCAGCACGAAGAGAGCACCACGCAACGGAACTGGGACACCCGACCAGAATCCCCTTAGCAACGAACGCGTTTAATAGTTGAAGATGTGCCGTGCAACTTCCGTTCGAATCGAGAGTGTAACATCAAAGAGAGCCATCGCAGTACTCTCTCTCCACGTCGCTCAGGTAAAGACACGTCGCCGGACTTGATACCGTGTTCTATACGCTTTTTCTCTATTCCAACGCTGTACCTCCATCTGTTGACCTTATTCCAGCCGAGGTACATTCGTAAGGGAGCTTTGGAAAAGGCGCGTCGCGATCCGCACAATGACACGAGTGCAGACCCTCTTCTTCGCGCTCGCGAAACGCTCGAGGGCCATGCACTCGTGACGCCTCTTCGCGTTGTGTAAGGTCGACCGTGTCGAGCAGTCGACGGGCTGTAAGAAAGGACAGACGAGGAGGGTGGAAGACGAAGGAGAGACGAGAACGGCTGACTACGAACGTCAAACGAAATGAAACGAATGTAAGAACGAGAGCAGAGATCCTTGATTCTCTGGCCTCGTGAACGACTCGTAATTATGGCGGTAGTCTTCGAAATAGAATTTTCTGCCTTTCGTCGCGTCGAGTCATTCAGCCGCCGTCGTGTACCAAGGAGAACGATTCATTCTACTTAGAAGCGAACGAGCTGAATCTCTTATCGACCGAGGGTGAGAGAAGGACGAAAGTGCAGGAACGCCTGGAGTAAAATGGACGAGCAAACAAGGTTTAAAAAGTATATTGCGTTGAGTGTGCGTTGTTAATTGAGTTCGCCGAGGATCGTTTGATGTTTGCGTTCTTAATGATCGTCCCATTTCCGGTGCTGACCCATCAGCAGCCGCGCCGCGGGATTTAATCTCGCAGCCCGGCCTTTAATCGCCTTTGCCTCTATTATGAGGCGAATGTTGCGGCATTTAAACGCCGGTGAAGTGAAATGGCGGGAAATTTTTGTTCAAATTTAAATCCATGTGTTTTTCAACGATTTACCTTTGTTCGTCGAATCGTGGGATTATTCGTCGAACTGTGTTGTGCGTTTGAGTGAATTCGATCGACGATAGAAATCAGGATGAAGCTAACCCTTTCTTTTCTCTTTCTGTTGCAGAAGGACGCGCTTAATTTGGAGCCCGGCAACGTGGCAAATTGCGTGTCCAAAGGGAAATCAGAGGTGAATTACTTCTTTATTTTATTATCGCGTTTACCGGGGCTCGAGCTCGCGTCGCTTCTTTCTTTTTACGGAATTTTAATATCGGCGTAATCTAATTAACGAGTCGCTTGACATAGGAGCACGGAGGTGGCGTAATTACGAGAATATAGAACGAAAGGACTTAGCGTTTGCGCGATAGAAAGAGAGGATAAAATTTTCGCGAACAGCAGGTCTCCGATGCTAAAGGCGGGAAAGAACAAACGGGTACGATTTCCTTAGATTTGCGCGGCGGGAGAGGAGCAAACGGGAAGGAGTGGCCGGTTTCTACGGGCTTTGACGAGCATAATAGCGGCGCGTCGTTCGTGTCAAAGAGAAAAAACGTATCGATGATCCGTAGCGGAACACGAGCTAAGGGTATAATTAAAAGTAGATGAATAAAGAAGAATTGCCCGCGATATTTCGAATGAAACGCCGGCTGCACGCGAGATCGTTTATCCCGTTCTTTGCGAGGTGAAGTAATTCGAGTTCATTTGAACTTGTTGTTCCACGTTTCACATGTAAAATAAACGGGATCGCGAAGGAAAGGACAAAGTGGAGCGCGAGAGGAAGACAGGAGAGAGAAATAGGAGAGACACGGGGTTTAATGGACCGTGTGTTTCCGTTTGTACGACTGCGGAATGTATTTCGTCGAAATTTGATATTGAACAAATTCATTAAAACCTGTCAACGAGCTCTGCGCAACTTTTATTGAAACGGAATATAATGGAAACATCTTTAGACGAAAATGTTTTTCCATCAGTTCGAGGCATTCGTTTTATGGAGTATCGATCGAGCGGCCACGTTGACGTTGCCTTAATTGAGGAACAAATTCGTTCGTCTGATGACGTTTCCAATTTGGCGGTGATAATGTTTCCATATAGCGATAATTTTCCAACGAGATAGTGGAACCGGACTCCACTCACGCTAATTGGCCATTTTTCAACAATATTTACGCTCGTGCGCGAACATCGTTCCCATTTCGTCCATCGAGCCTGTGTTCTACGGTATTTTTAAAGTAATTTCGCAAGAGGTGCCTGGAAATATTTATTTCAATTTTCGTGGAAGTACTGGTCATCGCAAATATCCACTGAAAAATACTGTAAACTTTCCGAGCAGTCCAATACTTTTCGAACCTACGCGTGCTCTCACGATTGTCTGATCTTGGCAGGTCTATACTACTTACTGAAAGTGAAGTCTATATATGAGAGGGTTAAATAAAGTCATAGTGCTGGCAAGTCACATTTCCCAAAATTTGGACTAAGTGCAGAAATGCAATCTACACCTGTCAAACTATTAAAAAGACAAGTGAAGTAGGTTATAAACTATTAAAAAGACAAATGAAATAAGTTATAAATTTGACGCTGTAAAATTTATTTGATCATTTTCAATCACATTCTCTCTTTCACAGAATAAGAAAATCGTGACCTACACCACTATAGCTTTAACCCTTTCATATGTCGATGTATATCCCTAACAATTTGTTATTAAGAAAATTTTTAACGATAGTTTAATCGTTGCTCACATTTGCAGTAGTACGTTTCAAATTTAAATAAAAATACCAGCTGATCCGTGGATAATGTTCAATCTCTTTTTTTTTATCGCATCGTCATCCCTCAGATGCAGAGTGACTTTTTAAGGTGCACACTTTCGCCGGGCGCTTATCGCGGCTTCATTCGGTATTCATCGCGTACGCAACGACGAGGTGTAAGGTCCACGCAAATATTCTCTACGTGACGACAAAACCAATTTATGTTCGCGCGCGCCAATTCGCCTGCGAAATACGCGGTAGCGACGTGATCGACCATGCCGGAACCCTTTGCCTCGATCTCGTTCTCTATAATTTTCGGAAAAATCCGTGTCCACGCATCGAACTCTTGTCCTCTGCCTCTCTATCCACACCTTCTCCCTCCACCGCTTTCCCAACCCACGTTTCTTCGCACGTATCCGTGGAAAATTCAATTTTCTTCCCCTTCTTTCGCAGCACTTTGACTGCCGGAATCACATAAGGGTGATCCAGCCAATGGGGGACGGCAATCGACTCTACATGTGCGGCACGAACGCTCACTTGCCCAAGGATTGGGTGATTTATGTAAGTATCTGTGTGTTTGTTCTTCATTTCGACCGCTTGTTTCGCCGAACATCGTCGAACACTCTCGATTTTCGAGTCGAGAGATTTTTTACGGTTTTCTATCGAACTTCGTATGCTGCGGGTGGAAATTGAAGCGAAACTTCGGGGCCTGTTTCGTTTCTATGTGTTTACATTGATTTTTTATAAGAAATTTCGTAGGAGAGATTTTTTAGAATCTGGGATTGAACTTTTTATGCTGTGGATGAAAACCGAAATGAAACTTTGGGGCTTATTTAATATCTACAGAACCACACAGACGGTTTATACGAAATTTTGCACGAAAGATTTTTAGAATTTTGAATTGAACTTTGTATGCTGTGGATGAAAATTGTACCGAAACTTTGGGGCCTATTTATTTTCTATACGACCACGTACAGTGACCGAAAGAAGTATTCATACACCCTATAAAATGGAATAACTTTTTTAAAATTGCGCCAAACGACTTGAGATTTTTGAGAAGTTAGAAAGATTAGTTTACTAGATAATGTGTCCAAAAATTTTTGAGAAAACTGCAATTAGTTGGAATCGCGAAGAAAATAACGAAGGTCACTTTTACAACTTTTTTATCTGAGCTCGTAATGCAAATTTAAAAAATACGTTTTGTAAATCTATGTCAATTATACACCGCTGAAAATTTCATTGAAATCGGTGGATGGAGAAACAAGTGACAGGCTTGTAAGAATCTGCAGATTTATTACAGTTCTAGGCCGAAAGTCGTGAAATAGTGCGATTTTCACAATCTTTATCCGTTTGTGGCTCATAGCAACATTAACTGATTTCGATCAAATTTTCAGCGTGTGCATAATTGACATAGATCTACAAAACGTATTTTTTAAATTTTCATTACGAGTTCAGATAAAAAAGTTGTAAAAACGGCCTTCGCTATTTTCTTCACGGTTCCGACTAATTGCAGTTTTTTCAAAAAATTTTTGACACGACATCTAGTAAACTAATCTTTCTAACTTCTAAAAAAAACTCAAGTCGTTTGGCCCAATTTCAAAAAAGTTATTCCATTTTATAGGGTGTACGAATACTTTTTTCGGTCACTGTAGATTTTTAAAAATTGTACTTTCTAAGCAGAAAATAGCTTATCAAAATTTTGCACTTTAAAACATTCATGTATATTAAAAAAATTAATAATTGAAGAATTAAGAGAAGTTAATGTTGAAGGGCATTAGAGGAGCTGAAATTTAGTTGCCGCGATATACTGCATCAATGTTGCTGCTTCGTTGCCGCGTAATTCCGGTATCAATTCGTCGCGCGGAATCTGTCACTAATACAACGCCATCGGTGCTGTAGTTACGCAGCGAGGTAAATGAATCGTGCGTTCAAGTATCCGTGTAATGAAGTCGAAGAATATATTGGTCTCGCTTTGTCGAAGATTACGACTCCCGTGCGTGTAATAGAGTTTCGCACGGTAAACGTGCCGCTTTTGCGTGGAAACATGTCGTTCTGGCCCCAAATTTTCCGCCACATATAAATACCTCCGTTCTTCTTCGACGTGTTACCTTCCAACTAACTTTTAATTCAAAAATAACTTTCGCTACATTACAAAAAAAAAATTGTTCATTTCATTGTAATATTGGATGATTGCAAAAATTCGCGCCCAATTTTCATGTTACGTTCCTATCGAAAGACACACCGCTTGTGTTTTATTTCCAGATAATTATTCGTTTCGTTTAATTTTATTTTCAAATGAAATGCACCTTTGCACACACCGCTTATGTTTTATTTTAAATCGAGCACGAACTTTTGCAATCGTCCGATAAATGTAAAAAAAAAATTGAACATGTGTTATACAAATAAGAATTTGCTATAATTTGCGTATAAAGACGGACATTCGTTCGTTTAATAGTGAAATTCGTATAAAAGAAAACCCGCAGCTACGAAGAATTTCACGTAACTGTTAGCACGTGGTCTTTTTACCGAATTTCGAGGGTTCTAAAGAACACCTTAAATTCCACACGACACGCGGAACGCGTTAAAAGTAAGCGAACATTATCGTTTCACGTCTGTTTACCCAACCTGAAATGTCTGCCGCAGAGCAATCTGACCCATTTGCCTCGCCACGAGTTCGTCCCCGGCGTGGGAGTGGGCATAGCGAAGTGTCCTTACGATCCTGCGGACAATTCGACGGCGGTCTGGGTGGAAAAGGGCAATCCTGGGGACCTGCCAGCTCTTTATTCCGGCACCAACGCCGAATTCACGAAAGCCGATACCGTAATCTTCCGTACGGATCTGTACAATTTAACCACCGGTCGGAAGGCGTTCAGCTTCAAGAGGACGCTGAAGTACGACTCGAAATGGCTGGACAGTAAGTACCCTTCTGCACGGCAATTTCTTCTTCTTTTAGCCTGAAACGAGGCAATATCCGCGGAATTAGTGTTCCCACCTACCCCACCGTCACGGCCGGGCACAGCCTAACAAGATGGAATCGTCGTAATAACGCTTTAAATTCGAGACCGGTGTTATCCAGACCGAAGATTTAAAGGTATCGGTATCATCACCGAAACGGCTACAAGATTTCCTTTTCCCTTGAATCCGCGGATAGAGGAGTATTATTGAGCAGCTTTGCAAACTATTTCTAGCTTACCGTCCACTTCAAGTCGATTGTGATCTTGGAATAGCGGTAGAAAATGTGTCTTGCTTTAGCTCTTCATCTAATTGGTGCAAGTGTAATTTTCATTAATACGAAACTCAATTTAATTGAATTTCAATTATTTCGTGTTTTTACTAAGTTTGTATCTTCTAAACAAAAGACACAAGTTTTGCTACATTTTTGATTCGCTTCAAGTCTCGTCGCTAACGACAGAAAACTCGATACGACTTCGTGAAATGTAGTCATATTTACAGATACGTGTCTACATCTCACGTACAATGCGATATCAGCTAACGATCCTACGGCACGGTAAACGGAGACACACTGGGAAGCTCCTTAAGCTCTGGAGTTTAACTTGGACAGCCCCGCTTTAATTGATCCTTGTTGACTGTTGATTGACAGCTAACTGCTTCGGTGATGAGTTCTAACTGATTAGTATCCTAAGACTAATACCCCTGACACCTCTCTGCCACCGTAATACCATCCGAAATTCTAAATACTTCTTAATCAACGAACAATTAACACGAGACTCTGAATCACTACGTAACGTTCGCTCTGAATTTTCTCCATTTCCAAATTGTATCAAAATTCAATCCTATCGCGAACATTCTCAAAGTACCCGCACGGTATTGAGAAAACAGCCGTAAAATTGAAAACACGAATTTCTCACCGATACTGAATATTCATCGATCGTTCGCCAGACACCAAAGAAGTCAGCGTGCACCACTTAAAGGCGCTCGTTACAGCGCCGCGACCCATCAACAAAGAAACTTTCATTAGAATCTGAATGCGGATTCTCCGGTTGGAAATACGCGAAAGAGAGGAAAAAGGAGAGGAGAGGTCCCTCTCGTTACAGGGCGCGATAGACCCTTTGAACCAAAGCCTGAATGTTGCAAGAAACGCGTACCTCGCTTAAATAGTTGCGTATAAAGCCGATACCACGGCGCTTGTTCTCCGGAAACGGGCGAAGGGGCCGTGTGGCAGTGCCGTCTTTTCAGCGTGTCGAGGCTTTCCACGAAAAACCGTGTAAAGAAGGTTGTCACAGGGGAAGGCAGAAAGTGGTTTGAAGGGTAACTAGTATACCGGAGGGCTTTGGAAGAAGGGTGTAGGTTCTAAGAATCGGCGGAGCAATAAAATAACACCCGACCAAGATTATCTCCGAGTAAATGCTTCGTTCGTGCTGCCCTTTTCTCTGGAAGAAGAGAGTTTACTTTTTCTCTCTTTTTTTTTTTCGTATGAATGCTGGAGAAACGCGCCCTTTGTATCCCGATCTTTAATCAGTTTTAGCAGCAGGGTCATCGAATCGGATAGGGTGAGAGGGATTATTGCGATTCGTGGGATTTTTCGTTACCGAACGAAACACCAGCTGGAATTCGCGAAGGGGGGAAATTGGAAAATGTAGATTAGAACGTGTTCCGGGTGCCGGATCGTGGAATGCGGTAATCAGATCCAAACGCGTCCGAGCAGCTTTGATTTGTTTGTATTACGTTTGTTTCGCTCGTTTCACTGCGATCCGACTGTTTGCCTGCTTTCTTCCTCGTAATGGCGGGATTATATTAGCAAAGGTAGAGTGAGGGTGATTATTCGATGGTGTAGAAGGGTAAGAATGATTTTTATGGCGTTCTACTTGAACAGTTAGCTTGATTGTAATGCAGTAAAGGCGCGATAATGTGTAATTTAGCTTCCTTTGAAATATAAATAATTAGCAAGTGTTAGTTCCATTTTGTAGATACAATAGAAATTTATTCTTCGTCTAAATATCCCAAGTGTGTTATCAGCGGGGGTGTACATATAATATTGTTCCAATGGTAAAATTGCCAAACTACTAATTAAATGATTTGATCCATTCAATTCATCAAGGTATAATGTAACAAATTTTCTTAAGTGTACATCATTTTGTTATACAATTCATAGATAAAATCGGTGCAAGGACGATTTAACATTATTTGACAAAGTGATTTTCATCTCTCCCGAAAAATTAAGTTTCTACAATTTAGCAAATGTACCATAGGACCAAAAACATCGAGCATAAACAACAGCACACACAAAACTGGCTGGAACTTCTCAAAGAAAGCGAAAGCAGCTGCGCCAGAGTGAAAACACACCTAAAATCCACCCCCCTTCTATCCGCGAAGAATAATTCAGTCACGTAGTCGGTCGCGAAACAATTTCATTTGCGCGCCGCGTGCCGCGAACGTTTCTTACGGGTAATTGGGAGTGGGGGGAGGAATCATAAATCCCCGGCGAAGTTATCAATTAATTTCAACTTCGTCCCGTGTATCTTGTCTACGGTAATTCTCTCCTGGCGAAGTGCACGCCGCCGTGCGAAATAATAGGCGGCCCTGGACTCTGCCGGTTGCCTTACATTTCTCAGGAGGGTGTCGTTCCTAACCTTCGACCTCGCATTTCCCACCTCGCCACTTTCGCGGAGCCGACTCGCGAACAGCGAAAGGAGTGAAACGAGGTGAGGGAGGAACAACGTCGAGACCCCACTTTGTATCTTTCATGCTTCCTGTGCCCCTTTCTCCGCGTTCCCCTCTCCTTGGGATGCATGATTAGCCGTTTGTTTCGTCCTTTAATTTGAAGGCGGCACCCTTTCAACCCGGCCTCTCCCCTCTCCATGCCCTTTTGCCCCCGGAGTTTAGAGGCCGGGGACGTTAGCATCAAGAGTTCCCCGCATCGAGTTTGTCTATTAACAGAGGCGTTGATTAAATACGGCGAGGAGACCGGGAGAAGAGAGACTGATAGGTTCACGTGCCTCTCCTCGCTGTTTCCGGACCCTTCCCTCGCCGATTCACATCCCTTCGTTACTCTCGGCCGTTGCTCTCGTTCGTGCGTACGCGGCAAAGTATGTAGAATGAAGATCGATGCGATTTGCGGGCGCGAGCAACCCGGAGGGAGATAAAGGATCAGGCGCTTGGAGAACGGAAGCGGTAAGCTGGAGGAAAAAGAGCGACGGCTGCTGGATGGAGCTTAACAAGCCCTGAATAACCGATGACGATCGGCCACTTTCACGGATCCTTGCCCGTGTCAAATGACGATCCGATGCTCCACGGTCGTTTGTTTCCTTCCACGGGACGCTGTCGCGTCTCTCTGGAGAATTTCTTGGCTTCGTTCTTTCGCGCCGGCGTTCCTTCGTATTCAACGCCGGTGGAGATTGTGAAAAATTAGGAAATCATCGGTGTAGATGTTCCTCGCGCGGAACAGTTATTTAGATAGAGACTAGATTTTTATTTTTTTCTTCTTTCGATTTTCAAGTATGCATTCTCATTCTTGATAGAGAAAATCCTACAATTTTACGAATACACGTATTGCAAATGGGAAATTGTCAGGCGTGCGAAAAATACTCGACGTTAATACAGTCCTCTTCGTTCCATTCCTTCATCCGAAAGCAATTAACATCAAGAACCGGGGACAAACGTCGCGTTTAATTGAATCTACGAAACGCAAATTCCCCCTCAGCCTGAATCAAACTACGTAGAAACTTCTGCGCGAAAACTTCACCGCGAATCAACCATCGAGCAGTGCCACGCGTCAGAAGTGGAAAAAGATTGACACGGTCAATTTGG